GCGATGGTTGACTTTCAGGTTGCTCATAAATAATTTCTATGTCGTTGCTGATATTTCTACTGCATGAAGGCACCTCTGAATGACTCTGAGTTGATGCTTCCTAAAAAAGAGGATTTGCAATAATTTGCATGCTTTTTTATTTTAAGTCAATAATGATAGCTTTGTTCGCAGAGACGATCCCAAGCTGATCCTGAATGCGAAGGTAAGAATCTCACTATAAAAAGCCGTTGATTGATACTGTTTCATTCGCTTGTGTTTGAGTTGATTTTGTGGTTCTATTCAGGAACGGTTTGGGGTCATCTGCACGAATTAAGCTACATTTTATTAAAATCACCTCCTCATTATTGTTTTCAACGTCTGACAGCTCTGTATCATATAATAATGTTCCTGTGGCAGCAGAACTTTTCAAATTATTCTAAAAATACATTATATTTTTGAAATTTAATGAAAAAAATAAGAAATAGTGATAAATTACCTGCATATCATGCCCGGCATCATGTAAATTCACCCCCATATTGGAATCAAACTGACTTCCTAATCCAAAAACTGATTTCTTGCTCATAATCGACATCAACAATTCATCATGTCGGCTATTCTTGTTTGGCTCAGGACAAGGTCCAGGTCCGCCTCCTGTTTTGTACAATTCTTTTTTCAATTCAGCCGTTTTCTTTCTTATCTCTTCTTTCATTTTTTCATATGTTTTTTTAAGTGATTCCATTGGCCTGTAGTGCAAGCTTGGCGAAGCACTATTAAACTCTTGGCAAATTTTTTCCCATGTCTCTTTTTTTTCTTTTACTGAGACACCATCGGTTTTTTTATTTTCGATTATGTTTTTATACTTTTCAATTAAATTAAGCAAATACTCCTTTTCGTTGTTTGCATAATTCGGTGCTCTTTTTTTTGAAGAACTTGTATCTTGGCAAGGATTTTGCTCTTGCTCCATTATAAGCTAAATTATTTTTGTTCCTGCCTGCCGTGCAACAAACCACAATAAACACTATTATAGGCACAATTCACGTTAGAATACAAATATTAAAATTCACGTTAAGTTTATGTTTAGGAATTTACCAACCATAGACTATTTAGGAACCTTCACAACAATTTTGCAGGTTAGACTTCACCGCGAACCCTTCAAAACAAAAAGTCACTAGAATTCTGCGATGTTGCCTATTCTTTTCACCACCCAACTAGGAATTCCATAAGTTTGACTGGTGGAACCCAACACACAACTTTAGGGGATTCCTAGATTAGGGAAACCCTACCTATTCTCTCCCTATATAAAAGTTGGTGGAAATGGGCATAAATCACACACAACATACAACAACTAACAACAACACCACAAAAAAATATAAACAACAAATTTGTCAAAATTGTCAAACCATCAAAAACACCATTCAAATGGGTTAGAAAAAGAGAAATATAGTTTCAACGGACGAAAATAATTGAAATGATCAATTTAGGTTTGGCAACATCGCTCATCTTTTAGCTCACAAGCGTCTGCGGATCAAACGGAGGCAACGCCACGAATATGGTCGAAAGTGTACGAACGGAACTTTTAAAATTTGGCGCGACGCGGTTCGTTAGCGTTTTTGTTTACCGTGTCTCTTTATTTATTTTTAGACACAAAATTATTAATATAATTTGATAGTTTGTATTGTTATCAAGAAAAACGATTGATTGAGGAGTAAATGCATATATGTAGATGGTAAATTGGCAATTAAAAACACTCTTGAACTTCAATGCGCTGATTTATATTTATTTTTTTAGACTACTTATTTCACAAAATGGGACCCTGTATTTGTGAGATTTGCGGCCAAACTCTTGCAAAAAAATCGGCGTTAATTGCTCATGTTAGGTGGAAACATGAGAAACTTGTGGAAAAAACATGCGCTGTCTGCAAGAGGGAGTTTTCGAGAACGTCTCACCTGAAAAAACACATGGATAGCACAATTCACAACAAAAATACGCCTGCAAAAATTATGAAGTCCATAAGGTGCCCATTAAACTGTGATTTTATTGCCGACAGCAAAGACATTATTGTTTTACATTACAAAAATGTTCACGGAAACAACTTAGACCCCAAGAATTTAACATTTGACAATAAGGAAGAATTTTTTGAGTGGAAAAGAAACTTGGAGCAAGATACCAGAGCACAGTTCATAAAACATGGAACTGTTAAGAGGAAAAATGGTACAATAATTATTTATTTTATTTGTCACCGAGATGGAAATTTCCGTTCCAAGAGCAAAAATTTGAGGCATCTTAAAATACAGGGCTCGAATAAGATAAATTCCCATTGTCCAGCTAGAATTACATGCCGTAGGTATAACTGATCAGTGTGTTAAAATAAACTACATTAATACTCATATTGGACATGGAATGGATTTAGGACGCTTAAATGTCTCGGAAAAAGAGAAAAAAGAAGTAGCTCAAAAGTTGGCAAGTAAAGTTCCATTTCAAGAAATTTTAAATGATATTCGTGATTCTATCACAAATAATGATTTCAAACGTATTCATCTATTAACACGAAAAGATTTATGGAATATTGTGGATTCATACAAATTAAATCATGAAGCAGTTTTGCACAAAAATGATTGTCTTAGTGTAGATGCTTGGGTTTCGCATATGCGGTCAACTTCAAATACCGTAAGGCTGTATAAACCACAAGGTATGGTATTGGAAAATTTTCCCCAGCTTCAAAGTAATGATTTCTGATTTCTTACTTATCATTATGAATGATGCTCAGTTAGAAATATTACAGAAATTTGGAGATGACTGCATATGCATCGACGGAACTCATGGGTTAAATGCTTATGATTTTCAATTGTTTACGTTGATGGTCCTTGATGACGTGAGACAGGGATTTCCCTGTTCTTTTCTATTTTCGAATAGGTCAGACACTCAAATAATGGAAATATTTTTCAAAGTGATTAGCGACTCTTTGGAGAAATTATTAAAACCACGAACTTTTATGTCAGATATGGATGACACCTTTTATAATGCTTGGTCTGCTATCATGTCTCCAGTTACTACAAGGTTATATTGTAGCTGGCATGTTGATAGGGCGTGGCGAAAAAACTTAAATAAAATAAATACTAAAGAAAAACAGGCATTAGTTTATAAAAAAATTAAAGTATTAATGTTTGAAACAGATATAAACACTTTCAACCTAATGTGTAATGCTTTTATGGAAAGTCTATATGCAGACCCTGATACTAAAGAATTTGCCAAATATTTTGAGACGTTCAAAAATAATTCGTCGACTTGGGCATATTGTCATAGAAAAAATGCAGGTGTTAATACTAACATGAATCTCGAAAATATGCATAAAATTATTAAACACTTTTACTTTGATCGCAAAAAAGTAAAACGACTAGATAAGAGTATCCACATGCTAATGAAATTCATACGTGATAAATTATTTGATCGTCTTGTCATTATGAACAGGGGTAAGGTGACTACAAAATTGAAATGTTTAAGAGATCGTCATCAAAAATCACTAACCGAGCCCCTGACAGTAGTTGAGGACCTTGAATTCGAAAATCGCTGGAATGTTTCATCTTCTAAAAATAAAGATATTTACATAGTAATAAGATGTGATAATACCTGTAAATGCCAATTGCGTTGCACGGAATGTGAAACATGTATTTATTCATTTAGTTGCTCTTGCATAGATTACTCTATCAAATGGAATATGTGTAAACATGTTCATACTGTTTGCACATATCTACAAAATGAAGGCTCAAATGATATCTCAAAGAGTGTGCTCTATAATGAAGGTGACATAAATCAAAACAGAAGTTCTCATGAAGAAGAAATCATTATCAAAGAGATAAGTAAAACCACGAACAATGTCTGGGATAGAAACAAGAAAATTGGCGAATTAATAAATACATTTTCGGCCATAGCTTCAACAATTGAAAATGAGCAACAGCTCACAGCTTGTTTGCATCAAATTGCTCCACTTGAACATATTATCAAGACACTTTCAACTGCGGGCAGCATGTCGTCATTACAACTAAATCCGTCTCAATCATCAGAACCAGCCAATAAAAAAATTAAAACACAGCGTAGGTTTTTTTCCACAAAAAAAGCAAAAAAGAAAAATACTAACCGTTTAAATAACCCATCTGACCCTGAACGACAGGAATTGGGACTAAAAATGATTTGCTCAGACCAAAAGTAGTATAGTCTGGATATTTGAAATTCCTCATTTCTAGACTAGTTATATAACTACCCACTAAGCAAAAAACATCTTTAGAACGTTTGGTAACGTTAATTATAAGAAACTTAAAAAACGTTTTCACTAAACATTCTAGAGATGTATAAATTACGTTTTTTTTTTAACGTTAGACATGATAACGTCCCTGGAACGGGAATTTTAAGTATGTGGTTATGACGTTTTAAACGAAACGTGTTAATAACGTACTATTCATGTTAGTTTAAAAAACGTTTATTTTCAACGTTGATGTTTTGTTAATGTAACAACTTATTCGTTACGTTGTTCAAAAAACATTCTAAAAACGTAAAAATTCTGTTTTGATAAATAACATTGGCATAGTTACACTACTGGAACGTTTTTTTGTAACAAGATAATAATGTTAATAAATGCACAAAATTAAAACTCCCAAAAATGTGCATCTAGACTCATTAGAGTTTCGAGATTGGGATGTTATTCAAAACGCGGCAAGAACGGGAGATATTTCGGAACCAGAACAGCTAGATAACAGGACTAGAGCCACGGCGCCGCCAGCTAGACCACGCCACGGCTCACGCCACCAACATAACCTCAAATCTCGACTTCGCGCGCCGCATTTGTTGTTGCTTGGTTTCTGGTTTGGCGGGATTTCACAATTTATTTGGTGATTTTAATGATTTTGTGTTAAACTATCTGAATATTTAAATTTTTTGCTACTTTTATTGATTTTATTTCATATTAAATATAATAGAACTTTGTAATTGTTTTACGTGCTTGTGATTGTGTTCTTTTGTTTGGAGCCATGGAGAAGGTAAGCATTTTGTGCATAAATTTCCTTCTTATATTTTATTCTCAAGAGGCCATAAAGGGCCCGAAGAATGTCGTAATAGCATACTTAGGTACTGGATTTGAAGGGAGTTTAATCAAAAACAAATCTCAGATCCCTAACTGACTAAGTTAAAGTCTATCTTTATTTCTGATAAATCATATAAAAATATTACTAACAAATTTAAAGATTTAATTTTGTCCTCATAGCAGAAATATAAGGTGTGCAATATAAAGCAGACAATTATATAAGTACATATATCAGTCTGAAGTGCTAGCAAAAAACTTGCTAAAAAAGTAATCATCAATTTCAATTACCCTTGATTCAATAACCCTCGATTTAACCTTACATAACGCTCGTTGGAGGTATTTTATGTTTATCAGAGAATGTTTATTTGTCTGTAGCGCCTTTCCAAACCGTACTCGTCTTACTGTAGGAGGCATATAAGGAGGGTTATTAATAACATATCAGAAATTGTTGAAGACAGATCGAGAGACAGATCAAATAATGAGAGATCCTTAGGAGCTACTGCCAGTACGACAAGGCTTAACTGCAATGCTTTTACCGAGGCTTTTGCCAACAATAGTTCCCAAACCCCGATACAAACTAAGGCCAGTATTATTGAGAATGCATCCATTTTAGCATCCACTTCTAACAGTGCCTGTAGTCCTTCCATTCCATCCTTAGTTACAGAATATTTTCCAAAAGTAGTTCCTTGTCAAGGTGAAACTCTATCAATTGATGATACATATCAGGACACCAATATTTTACCTCAAACTAATAGTAAAAAATTTCTAAAATCTTTAACTTCATGGGCTGTAAAAACACATTTAAGTCATAATGCTTTTAATGAATTATTGAAAATAATTCGGTTTCATACTGAATATAAAGACATTCCGCGTGATTGTCGTACACTTCTCAAAGTCGACCCAACATTGAAAAAAAGTATTGTCCAATTCTCATCAGGGAATTATTATCATTTTGGTCTGAAAGAAGGCATTTTAGAGACATTGAAAAGGCAGAATATTATTAATTGTCCAGAAGTGTTGAAAATATCAATAAACATTGATGGCATCCCGTTGACTAAAAGTAGTTTGAGTCAATTTTGGCCAATTTTAGGATTTCTGGATTCTTTTAAAGATAGTCAGCCTTTTCCCATAGGGGTATTCCATGGCAAGTCCAAGCCTGAAAATATTCAATGTTTTTTTCAAGCTTTTGTGAATGAGTTTAAAACAGTTAAACAAAATGGAATACATTTCAATAACTCGCAGTTTTCAGTCCAAATTTCAAAAATATTATGTGATGCTCCTGCTAAATCATTTGTTTTAAATGTAAAAGGCCATAATTCTTATAGTAGCTGCACGAAATGCCAAGTTGAAGGGGAGTACATAAACCACAGAATGTCTTTTTTAAATGCAGAAGCAAGTTTAAGAACACACACTGAAGTAGCTAACATGATTGATGGGGACTATAATAAAGGTCCAACCCCACTTACTGAGCTAAATATTGATTTGGTTAATGACATTCCCCTTGATTATATGCATTTGGTTTGCTTGGGTGTTACAAAACGATTGCTTAGTTTTTGGGTATCAGGACACCAAGGCGTACGTTTTTTTAAGGAGGATTTGGACTTATTAAATGACAACTTAGAATCTTTCAGAAAACATTGTGTAGTGGAATTTGCTAGACTGCCTAGGTCTCTAAAGGAATTGGATCGATGGAAAGCAACAGAGTTTAGAAATTTTTTGTTATACTATGGCCCCGCAGCAGTTAAAAATGTGTTGAAGGAACCCCTATGGAGTCACTTTCTCTCTTTTCATGTAGCTATCAGAATATTGGTATCTCCTGATCTGGTCATCAAGCAAGAGTTTTTAAATTATGCTGAAGAGTTAATAAAATATTTTGTTTCAAAATTTGGAGACCTATATGGAAGAGAGTATTTAAATCATAATGTCCATAATTTAATCCACTTAGTTAACGATGTAAAGAGATTCGGGCCATTAGATAATTTCAGTTATTTCCGTTTTGAGAACTATATGTCAAATATAAAAAAAATATTGAAGACTAGTAATTACCCTCTCCAACAGTTTATAAACAGGTATTATGAATATAATACACACTGTTTTTCCGAACCAACAGAAACCACTGCTAAATTATTTAATGTACTAGAAATTAGGAACAGTTGTAATCATGTTACTTTCTACAAAAATTTAAATTCATCTAATTTTTGTTTTTCTATCACTGAACCAAATTGTTTTGCTTTTTTAAAATCTGGAAAAGCAATAAAGTTTCTTAACTTTTTTGAAAAAAATGATAATTTATTTTTTGAATGTATAGTTTTTCACCAACTGAAATCTTATTTTAAAACTCCATGTGATTCATTGAAATTAAATATTGGACTGGTGAATAATGATAATATGGAAACTCAAACTACTCATGACATAAACGATATTTTTTGTAAAGCAATAAGAATAGGAGAGCTATTTATGCCTTTGTTACATAATAATATCGTTTAACGAACAAATATTTTTGTAAAAACTTCTGTATTAATTTAGATTTTTTTTATTTTATTTTTTTTATTTTTTTTTTATTTTTTTTTTAGCTTTCTAGATTTTTTTCCCATTTTTTTTTCTTTTTGTCTACCTTAAAATAGTATTCAAATGGAGTTTGAAGTGATTGATGCCTTGAGAGTAACTTTTTAACAAAAAAAGGTAATTTAGTATAAGTATAAGTTAAGCCTTATTTATTATGTATTTAAGTCTTTTAAGTTCAATTATTCATATAAATGAATTATTTATATAATCACCTCGATAATCACCAACAGAGTGTCACAGCCTGTCACAACCTAACATTTTTTAGGCCTTATACCTACGATTTCAACAAAATTGTAGTGAAACGTAGGATATAATATGTTTGCCTTTAAAAGTAAGCAGAGTGGAATGCAACGCCTACTTACGAAGCGGAAAAAGATCAGAAAATTGTACCACTTAATTGTCATTTTCCATGGAAATTTTTTTCCAAGAATAGTTCTTTATTTTAGAATAGACTGCACCAAATCCAATACATATATGATTTTTTTATTTTTTGTTCTCCTTGAGTACTTATTTGATGCATTTTTATGATATTCTGAAAATTACATCGTACAAGATATTTCCATTATTTCCATTTTCTTCTTAGAGTTCTTAGTACCTTCCGTCAAAAATCACAGCATAAAAAAAATTTACTTCAGTGTAACAAAAAAATACTGATGAAAGAAAAAGATATACTTTTGAAAAACCCAAAATGATGATTCTGGAGCGATTCTGAACGTTTTGCTATCCCTTCTTTTTGAATTGTATTTTAAAGGAAAACTATGTTCTACCTTCTACTAAAATTTTATTGAAAGTAAATTGAACTAAAAAAGTTATGATGGTGTAACATTCTCAAGTGAGACAGTCTGTACCTAGTTTCATATAAGGTATATACAAATTAATAATGTAGTTTAAATCCATAATAAAGAAAATACTAATTGCAGTACGTACTACATACTCATCGAGTAATAGTAATGGTATTATTTGATTAATATACTTATTATAACTAGAATTGTATTATTTAACAGTAAAACCAAAACTTATACTCATGAACTTTTAAACACCAAAAGTTTATCTAATATGCATATTTATCAAATAATTCTACTGTTACTTATACAATATTTTGCAAATTATATTACTTTGACAAAGAAAAAACATTTTTAGTATGCAGTGACTAGTTTTAAAGAGGGTGGGATAAGTGTGATCCCGAAATGCTGGATGTTAAACGACCACATCGCATACTGGCCAAACAGTGCCAAAAACTTAAGGACACTCATCATTAGGGCCAATGCGCCAAATTTGGAATGGCCTACTTACAAAATTACCAAAATATATGGACTTTATGGTTAGTATAAAAATTAGTTTGGTAATTACATAATTGATAAATCTTTCCACTTTCTTTACTTCTACTAAGATATGTATGAGGACGCCCTTGCCATGGAGAAGCTTGCTGCTAAAGAATCCTCTGAGTCAGAGTCTGAGGGCAGGGGCCCAGGGAAAAGGAAATTCAAGAGGAAACAGCAGTACTCTCCTCCTCCATCATTTTCAAACACCAGTAAATAGCTTTGCTTTTGTTGAAAGTTATTTTACTATTTAAATAATTTTTAGCTTCCGAAAGTGAAATATCTAGTCCTGGCGAGTTCGATCATAACAAAAATACGGAGTTCAATACAATTATGGAAGAAGCAATGTCCCACGAAATGATAATGGAACCAGAAGTGATAACTATCAATCCCCTTGATATTCATATTCAAGATGATAATATATTGGGTATGTATAATGTATACCCATGTAGGACTGTTAACACGTGATTGAAATGTCAACGCATGTCAACGTCTACTTATTGTTTGGTGAATTTTCAAGCCAAGTTGATTAGTGCCATAAATTGCTTATTTTAGGCTTATTATTTGCATCCAAGAATATAAATATATTGCAGTATACAGCCTATATTTTATAAAATTTACTTTTTAGAATTGACAAACATAATAGATGATTCTGATAATCGTGGTGCAGTAACTTCGGGAGCTCGCTCAGGAGTGATCGAAATTATTCCAGATGGAGGGGCAGAGACTCAGCCAGAGTATAATCGTAATGGTATTGTATCAATATACATTTAGTCAAAATGAAAACATTTTACTATATTCAATTTACAATATTTATAAATTTCAAGGTAATGTTTTAGAGGTGAAGCCACCTATAACAAATGAACAAATTTGGAAGAAACTGGAGGATATCGATAAAACATTGAAATTTATCCTGGTGAGGTTGAGCTCATTGGAGGCTACAACTTCCTCCAACGTGGACAACACTAACAGCAAAGACCTCGATTTTACAGGACTCCCCCCATTACCTTTAAAAACTATAGGGGAAATATTAGATCTAGAAGAATTACTAAAATCTGGAGACTTAAAAAAAAAAATGGTTAGTATTGGAAAATATTTTTTATAAATAATTAGACATTTTATTTTGCAGGTCAATAGAATGCTCCAAGTTTCTGGCAAATCAGAAACTGATTTTATACGAAGAGCACTAGCTGCCACATTCACTAACCAAGTTGCATCTTCTTGTTCATGGACGGGCCAGAAAAATAATTTCAGAATTAAAGATTGTGTTGTGATGTTAGTGTTAAAAGGTACAATTTCATTTTTTAATTTTTTAAGTTGAATTTTTTGATCTACAAATTTGAGTAAACTTTTTTTAGACATTGACATTTAAAAAAAATGTTAAATAAAAATTACTTTGTCTTAGGCCCAGTTGTACAATCTTAGTTCAAAACAGAGTTCGGCTGAACTCGACTGGTACTTGAACTTTCCCATTGGAAATGCATTGCTGACAAAATTGATAGAATTTGATTGCTGACAGCAATGTATTTTAAATGGGAAAGCTCAAGTACCAGTAAGGTTCAGTTGAACTTTATTTTGAACCGAGATTGTACAACTGGGCCTCAATGATTTGTTGTATCGAAAAAGAATTTTCTTGTATATTTCCAGGAGCAGTTCAGAAGACATTCAAAATTACTGATAAGCAGTTTGAGGTGACGGCCATGGATTGGTTCCGTCACGCTAATCAAAGATTGAAACGCGAGGCTTAGTGATTTGAAAATACATTTTTTTGAGTTTTTGAAATAAGATTTTTATTTTTTATTATGGTTGGCTATTTTAAAGTTTTTGAAATTATTATTTTTTTTTATTATTGTTGGCTATTTTGAAAGTTTTTGAAATTATGTTTTTATTTTTTATTATTGTTGGCTATTTTGAAGTTTTTGAAATGTTTTTATTTTTTATTCTGGTCGGCTATGATTCCAAAAAAACTTCATTAAATTTTTTGATAAAAAATGTGAGTTTTATTATTGTTTTTAGATAAGTATTTTTATATCATAATAGTTCAGTTCACAGGTAAAAACAAAAGGCTGATACTTAGTAACTAGTTCTATAATTATTATATTAATCAACAAAAAAAAAAAATTAAGGTGTTACAAGTCCTTTGTATAAACACATTTTAAAAATCTTATAATTTTATAACATATTCTTTTATGTCACTCACTAAAACAAGTTTTATTGTCGTTATGTTTGATGCCAGTTAACAAGTAGTTCTTATGAAAAGAATTAACGATCAAAAATACCGACAGTAAAACTTGTTTTATGTAATAGCTGCCATTAAAATGTAAAACAATATTAATTTCAGTCTTGACAACAGAGACATAAATGTTATATTTAACAATGCAGAATTGTTTTTGCTTCTTCTAGATAACATAGATGCTACGTTAGCTGCGTTAAAATGTGCTACATTCGAAACGTTTCAATAATGTCACTTAATAACAAAATAGTTACGTTAAATTGTTTCGATTTCATAAAGGCCAGTTTACGTTCTTGAGATGATTTTTTAACGTAACAAAAACGTTATCTCTCTAACGTAACAGCGATTTTGTTGAGTTGCGGGACTTATAACGACTATGTGATGCAACTAGAACGAAAATAAATCAAATTATTTAACGTAACATTGTAACGAGAGAACATTTATTTAACGAAACATGGATGTTTTTTTGTTTAGTGGGTAGTTACTTACCTAATGTAAATAAATTTATGACAGTTTCAAGATTAGGTATGTGATATTTACATAATTATTTATGTTTTCTTTCTGCTACTTTTAATGATTACCTGATTAATAGAATATTTTTTAGAACCTTTATGTGTTAATGTATAGAAACATAAACATTGAAATTTTCTGTTTGCATCTCAAAATAAAGTTACTAAAAAGATGAAAGAAGAGAAGATGTTTTATTTATTTATTTTATCCATTGGTTTCTTGAAAATAAGATATTTTTTTTTTCTTAACGTTTCTTCTTAGCTTAAGGCATTTTTAAAATTAAGAAAAGATAAAAAATAATATACCTAATTACCTATATTGAAATGGAAACAAATATAGGTAGGTTAAAACAAAGTGGTTGTGATACAGCCTACAAATCAACTGTAAAGGGCGAAAGGCCATGTATTATTAATTGATTATTTGTTCCACCAAGGTTCTACACCTGACATTAATTTTTTTTTGTACCCGGCTTGATACCTCATCCCAAAAAAAACTAATTCTCTTCAGTCTTTCTAACATTTTTAGTTAAATATTATCGATATTTTACGAAATGGAAATTGCAAAATAATCCTAGAATATAACAATCAAATTCATCAGGATTCAGGACAAGGAGGCGGAGGCGTCAAAAAACAAACAGCAAAAACGTTATGGCCGCTGTATTCGTCGCGTTGCCCCCGTGTGATCCGCAGACGCTTGTTTTTAGCTCTGTTCCCATCCCACCGAGAATGCGGCGATGTGAAAGGACGTGATGTGGTAAACTTGCGTCTATATCTCAACGTGACTCCTTCAGTATGCGCGTGCGCCTACTTACCATAGAAGATTTTTAGGTTAGGTTTTTTTGTTTTGTTTTGATTTTGATCTTGTACGTTGTTACCTAAATTCCCTAATTTTGTTTCTACTGACTCTGGAATTTCTATCCACCCCGTTTAGGATAATTTTTTACTTAGCAAAAAATTAGCGCAAGAAACTCAATCTAGCCCTTAACTATTTATATCTGTAATAAATAAAACACAAAGGTACCTATGTATTTGGGTGAAAAATTTATTTTGACACAGAAAAAATCAAAATGCACATAAAATCTAAAAGAAAGTATCTATAGTCCCCGCCACAGATAATCGAGGTTCCTTCAAAAAATGATTTCTCTGTCGGCGATGCCCGGATAAGCAAAAACTGTTGCAAAAACTCTACACATAAAGAATTGAGAATAAATTTAGTCCAAGAGCATCAATTTTTTGATTTTGTTTATCCGGGCATCGCCGACAAAGAAATCATTTTTTCTAGGAAATATTGTTTTTTTCCTTCCAGCCACCAACGAATCATGCATATTTTTGGTATGTCTGCTTAAATTGCCCTGATTTGAAAATGTTTTGGAACACCAAGTACAGACATATTATTATACATATCTACAAAATTTGGATACATCTTCACTTCTGGACTTACTTCTCATTAGACTTACTCAATCACTTTTACTTATCTATAAGCCCTTTTTAATGTTTTCACTGTTTCCCTCCATCACGATACGAATCAACAGATATGTAACTACAAAAATTACCCTAAACGGAGTGAATAGAAACTTTAGGGTCAGTAGAAACAATGTTACGTTACGAAACAAGTACAAGTTCAAAATCAAAACAAAACAGGAAAACCTAACCTTAAAATCTTCTGTGGAAAGTACGCGCACGCGCATACTGAAGGAGTCACGTTGAGAAATAGACGCAAGTGATGTGGTAAACCGCCGGTGATACATCACTTCTCTTGTTCGAACGATCATATCCGACGATTACCAGAATCGGCTCCCAGACCGAAACTGTCATAAAAAGTGTTGGGTTATGTGGTTATATTCATTTGTCTATTTTTTGAGGGGCGTTCGATAACATGGGGCGTTCGATAACATGGGGCGTTCGATAACATAGGGCGTGTTATGGACCGTCGATGACGTGCAACAAATGTCTGAGTTATTAAAGAAATCTAAACAGATGTTATATCTAACCCAAGTTGCTGCAATTTTGAAAGTGCTGTGTTAACCTCGTAACCTCTAATTGGGCATGATAATAAAATGACTTAATTAAAAAACCAAGACGAAAGCTGTTGTATGTTGTTTAGTAATATACCTGCAGCTATAATATCCTTTAAAACCATAGCAGTATTATTAACTTCATAAAATTCTTTTAGATGATTGGACAGTAAAATGAGCAACACATAAATGAATTGTCGCGAAATTGTTGGGAAATTCGCATTTTTTGATTGCTATATCATATGACTTATTCAAGTATTCTGTCAAACTGAGAAAGTTGCATGATTTGGATATAGCGTGAATGTTTGCGAAACTAAAATCAGTCACTACTGCTCCAAATGATGGCCATTTTCCTCGCTCCTCACAGAAACCATCTCAAAAATCGGTACTATTCTTTCAACGATTTGAACGGGTATTACGGCAGAGTATAAATAAACACGTTTATAGTATTCGAGTGGTTTTCTTATAACGCTTCCCGTCGCATCAAAATAAATTGTTGGAAGATGGTCGGAGTTTTGTTTGGCTAACATATGTAATTGTTCCTCACTGTATGTTTTCTGATTTAATTTTTCTCATTGTTGCGTCTGATTTGATATTTCTGAGATTTCCTGACATCAATATTTTATTTTTTTCTCTTAATATTTTTTCTCTCTTATATTGCAATGGTTTTATTTTGTCTAATTTCCTCTTCACGATTTCTCTCTCAACGCCTCTTACACAACCTGTCAGTTTACCCATATGGCAAAAATTTTTGGAAGAACTGTAAACTGTTAAACAATTTTTTGAAAATATTACTTTAAATTTCTTACTAGATTCGTGTTTACAAAAAGCACGAAATACTATTGAGTTGGTCTTTTTAAGATATTTCGAACTTTGAATAATAAGTAAACATGTATTATTTATTTCCCTTCTTATTCGGTTTTTATTAAAATATGAAGAGTAATAATAAGTATTTGGTTTTTTGTTATTTTTCATTACGAGATTCCAATATTTGGGTTCTATATCTACAGAACCTATCAAAAAAATGCAGTCTTTATAGGTTGATGGTGGCAGAAAAGTTTTATTTATTGTTTCTAGTGGTAGTGAAAGGTTGTTTTTATTTTCTGATGACAAATACAGTAAAATATTGGGAACCTCAATGTTTTCTGGTGTGATTTGAATGTTGCTGCTATTGTGGGTGTTTTCACTCATTTTTTCTTCAGAAATATGTGAATTATTATTATTATTCTTATCTGGAACATGAAGTACTTCTTGAAAAAACGTTTCACTATTGCTGCTTATCATTTCATTATTTTTTCTAGGTTTAAAAAGAATATTTGAATCATTATTTATATTGAAACTTAATGGCACAATAGGGGTTGAACGCCTTGGAGACTGAGTATTTTCATCGGTTACATCTCCCATTTCACCACATACAGTATGTGGTGAAATTGGTGATATCTTTTTATCATGAGAAAAATCATTATTGGAATTTTTGCTGCTAATTGACAAAGCAATCATTGGTGTGGAACACAAAAAAAGCTGAAAATGATGTGTTTCTCGGGGTTTTTCTTTAAGATCATCAGCACTTAATACTAAATTGGATTTATTATTTGTTGGGGTATTTTTAAAAAGAGATTTGCAGTGATAATAAATTTTTTTCCTATTTTTCAAACAGTTTCTGTGTCCTATTTTTTTGCATATTGACATGTAGAGTGGATCTTTTTCATTTCTAACATTTGAAATATCTTTTAAAGCAATATTTTAAACTGCAAAACAAACAGCGTAAGCATATAACTATCTACATAATATCACAGAATAAAATATATTTTACATATTAGCAATAATTATTGTGATTTTTTTTACATATCTTTGCTTGTACCTTCTTGGCGGAGTACCTAATTAGGTACACAAAAGTTCATATTTAGCCTTGGGGTAGAAATAAAGCACAGGTTGCCTCAGATATAGGTTCGATATTACCCATGGCGTATGATAAGAAGGAAGCTAAAAATCAATTTGCATATTATTATAAGCTTTGTTATTATTTTTTGTGTATTCAGGGTAGGAATGTGCGTATAGGGGTAAAGGAACTGCCTGCCCTGCCCTTACTGGGAAATTTTTGTAAACTGAAGAGGAGTGCAATAATTACAACCGGATACTTGGATTTTTTGAAGTTCTATTCACACAAAAGTAGAT